TAAAGTGTCCCACATCAGGCTTAGAGCAGAAGTGTCCCACATCAGGCTTAGAGCCAAAGTGTCCCACATTAGGCTTAGAGCAGAAGTGTCCCACATTAGGCTTAGAGCAGAAGTGTCCCACATTAGGCTTAGAGCCAAAGTGTCCCACATTAGGCTTAGAGCTAAAGTGTCCCACATCAGGCTTAGAGCCGAAGTGTCCCACATCAGGCTTAGAGCTAAAGTGTCCCACATCAGGCTTAGAGCCAAAGTGTCCCACATTAGGCTTAGAGCAGAAGTGTCCCACATTAGGCTTAGAGCAGAAGTGTCCCACATTAGGCTTAGAGCCAAAGTGTCCCACATTAGGCTTAGAGCTAAAGTGTCCCACATCAGGCTTAGAGCAGAAGTGTCCCACATCAGGCTTAGAGCTAAAGTGTCCCACATCAGGCTTAGAGTTAAAGTGTCCCACATTAGGCTTAGAGCTAAAGTGTCCCACATCAGGCTTAGAGCAGAAGTGTCCCACATTAGGCTTAGAGCAGAAGTGTCCCACATTAGGCTTAGAGCCAAAGTGTCCCACATTAGGCTTAGAGCCAAAGTGTCCCACATTAGGCTTAGAGCCAAAGTGTCCCACATTAGGCTTAGAGCTAAAGTGTCCCACATTAGGCTTAGAGCTAAAGTGTCCACATCAGGCTTAGAGCAGAAGTGTCCCACGTCAGGCTTAGAGCCAGAAGTGTCCCACGTCAGGCTTAGAGCTAAAGTGTCCCACATCAGGACTTAGAGCCTAAAGTGTCCCACATTAGGCTTAGAGCTAAAGTGTCCCACATCAGGCTTAGAGCAGAAGTGTCCCACATCAGGCTTAGAGCCAAAGTGTCCCACATCAGGCTTAGAGCCAAAGTGTCCCACATCAGGCTTAGAGCCAAAGTGTCCCACATTAGGCTTAGAGCTAAAGTGTCCCACATCAGGCTTAGAGCAGAAGTGTCCCACATTAGGCTTAGAGCAGAAGTGTCCCACATCAGGCTTAGAGCAGAAGTGTCCCACATCAGGCTTAGAGCCAAAGTGTCCCACATCAGGCTTAGAGCCAAAGTGTCCCACATCAGGCTTAGAGCCAAAGTGTCCCACATCAGGCTTAGAGCAGAAGTGTCCCACATCAGGCTTAGAGCAGAAGTGTCCCACATCAGGCTTAGAGCCAAAGTGTCCCACATCAGGCTTAGAGCCAAAGTGTCCCACATCAGGCTTAGAGCAGAAGTGTCCCACATCAGGCTTAGAGCCAAAGTGTCCCACATCAGGCTTAGAGCAGAAGTGTCCCACATCAGGCTTAGAGCCAAAGTGTCCCACATTAGGCTTAGAGCAGAAGTGTCCCACATCAGGCTTAGAGCCAAAGTGTCCCACATCAGGCTTAGAGCAGAAGTGTCCCACATCAGGCTTAGAGCCAAAGTGTCCCACATCAGGCTTAGAGCAGAAGTGTCCCACATCAGGCTTAGAGCCAAAGTGTCCCACATCAGGGCAGCTCACACATGTATAACTGGAGCCCCCTCTTTCTGCCTGTCTTCCGTGTGTCTTCGTCTCGTGATGTCCTCCTGACTGGTTGAGCTCCAAAATGAAAGGATTGAAATAATTTCCTGAATTTGAGCAGAGTCCAGATGTGTTGAACGCAGCCTGCAGTGCCACCTTGTGGTCAGGGGGAGGATATATATGAATCTTTATGCAGAGTTTAATTAAATAAACTACATTTAATCTGCTTTTCATTTTATTAATTTTACATGTTTCCTTTTGTTATTGCTGCTTCTATGATTAGTTTAAACCCACGTGTCTTGTTTGTATTATTTATCAATACATTTAATTGTTATTTGATTATTTTAATGCATACTTCTTTACTTTGTCTTTACCCTTGTCTTATTTTTATTTAGTTATTATAGTTTTTTATTTGTTATTTCATTCTTACTCCTTTTATTGGTTTTAACCATAGACTGTATATAAAGGTTTTAACTCATATTTGATTTTCAATTGTATTAATCAACTGTTGTCCTGATAATTATTTCTACTTAGGTTTTCCTTTTATTCGGTTTTAATCACACAACTGTGACTTTTTGTTGATAAATTGCATGTTTTTTTAATTGGGTTGAAACATTTTGTAAAGCCTTTAATTTAACTTTAATAAAAATACAAAACATAAAAAAACCTCTGATTAGAGTTAATAGTTTAAATATTAAATGTGTTTCTCTCTATTAATGCACACAATGTTCATACTGCTTTCTGCACATATTTCTTATTTCATATTTGATATCCTATCATTCATAGCATTCTATTTCCATGTGAATTACTGCTTTATTTTATTGCTATTTAACTATATTTTATTACGGTGTCCTTAAAGATTTCTTGTTTTACTTTTATGTATGCACTGTGGTGACCACCTTTAATACACTGGGTTACATAATCCACACATGGAACTAGAGTTGGGGGTATTGTTTCCACACGGACATATATGTGGTTACTTTTATATGTTGTGTGCCCTCCTCGGCTGCGACCCGACAACACCTGCATTTCTGCTGCTCATTAAAGACAGTTTTGCACCTTCGATGCACCGCCTCCGACTCCCTTTCTCTCGCACTACAGCACCACGACATCAAGTCAAATTCCTCGTATGAACCTACCTGGCAATAAACCTGATTCTGATTCTGAAGGTTGATGCTGCCTTGCTCAGAGGCAGCGCAGCAGTTTCCTGTCCAACACTGACACCTAGTGGCCATCTGCAGCAGGTTCAGCTCTGCACAACACCACCGTTATTTATTATAATAACAAAAGTTATAATTAAATAAATCTCTGAGAAAAACTCTACTAATAAGTACTCAGATCTTATAGTAAAAGTAGAAGTACTCAGATCTTGTAGTAAAAGTAGAAGTACTCAGATCTTATAGTAAAAGTAGAAGTATTCAGATCTTATAGTAAAAGTAGAAGTACTCAGATCTTGTAGTAAAAGTAGAAGTACTCAGATCTTATAGTAAAAGTAGAAGTACTCAGATCTTATAGTAAAAGTAGAAGTATTCAGATCTTATAGTAAAAGTAGAAGTATTCAGATCTTGTAGTAAAAGTAGAAGTACTCAGATCTTGTAGTAAAAGTAGAAGTACTCAGATCTTATAGTAAAAGTAGAAGTACTCAGATCTTATAGTAAAAGTAGAAGTACTCAGATCTTGTACTTGAGTAAAAGTAGAAGTAATATGTGACATGCATTAAAAAAAAAAGTACAAAGTTATGATATAATAAAATATATAATAAACATTTTACATAACGTAAACAAATACACACTTTGTAACAGTTCTTAGGATTTAGCAGCCAGGTATTACACAGTTATTAACGGCATTTATGCATAGCACATATTGCACATAGTTTGTTGGTATTTAGCAGCAAGGGGTGTTATAGTCTGTGTTGTGGTGTGTGTGTGTGTGTGTGTGGTGTGTGTGTGTGTGTGTGTGTGTGTGTGTGTGTGTGTGTGTGTGCGTGTGTGTGTGTGTGTGTGTGTGTGTGTGCGTGTGTGTGTGTGTGTGTGTGTGTGTGTGTGTGGGTGTGTGTGTGTGTGTGTGTGTGTGTGGGGGGGGGGGGTTGTCTGACTGCTGCAGGAAGGAAGGACCTGCAGTATCTCTCCGTGAGACAGCGAGTGATGTATTAAATGTACTTATACTTCACCACATGTTTTATGTCATATCCGGAAAGGCAACCTGAAGCTGAGGCAATAAACTGTTGCTATATCTTTGACATGTTACTCTGCATTGTTCCCTATTTTCACTTCCTTCTGTTCATTATCGTGATTCACACGTTTCGCTCTAAACTATTTTGCCAACAGCTGCAGAGTACAATCAGACCTTTTAGGATTCTACAGATTGTTAGATTCATTTGTTCTTGAACAAGTTTGTATTTTATCTCATGTTACATTTCTTCACGTGCTTTCTGTGAGTCCTTCTGAGATAAGGTGTCTATTAATAACCTGGTTATTCACACAGAGAAGAAGGAAAGGCGTTTATCAGCAGACATTAAAGCGTGAAAAGTGTCCAACTTCGCTATTGCATTTTAAGTTTGACTAAAATAACGTATATTACATGAATTAAAATGTCTCCTCCGGGCTTCCATACCTTGTTATTCTTTGGTTGTTTCATATATTGTATCTGTATTTATGTGCATGTCTGTGGTCTTGCAACAACTGTACTCTATGTCGATCAATATGATTAATATGTGATCTTATCTCAAACGTCATGCTGTCCACAGTTTGTGTTTCTCACAGCGTCTGCTCTGCCTGAAGCTGTTCCTTCAGATATCCAGATAATCTCTCAATGTAAGTTCTTTCATAATTATACGAATCAGGGTTAGGGATGGAAGTAAGCTCAACTCTCAGGGTCCAAACACAGACAGAAATACAGAGATTTAAGGGTCAATATTTGCCTTTAAACCTCACAATAATAACACACTTTGGTCTTAATTTACACATTAATGAGTGTAGATACTCAAGGTGTAGACATGTATGTATTAGCTGAGCTACAACTCCTATTTTCAGGTAATTATGGGTCACTTTTTGTAAATTAATCAACAAATAAATACACGTTTGAACATATTTCACATTGCTGTTAAACAAAGACACATTTTCACAATGAAGTGAACCTAATTTAATGTTTTTTTGTAATATTCTGATATTTTCTGAAGGCATGCTGTCCATTCTATAGATTTAATATATAATAGCTAAGATCCCACATATTATGGGCCAATAATGAGATATCCCCACCCTATATGCACACATATTCAAATGAAGACATTATTTTACACAAAGCATGCTTTTTTGTCTTAAGAAAGAAGAGACATTTGCACATGTCTCTTTATTATGATTTGCAGAAAACTGGGATGCAGTTTTTGTATTTGCATGAGGAAGGAGGCGGTGTGTAAACAGAAAGAGGAAGTGAAGAAACAGGAAGGAAATGTGACAGAATAAAATATAGTATTTTATTTTAGGAATCATTCATTTAATTTTTAAGGATGCAGAGGCTCCTGAGTGATGGAGGAAAGGAAAAGGAAGGGATGAAGGGAACAAGGAAAGGAGGCGAGGATGCGAGGAGAGGGGGGAGGAGTAAATCAGTGTTGGAGACTGACGCGGAAGGAGAAGCAGAGGAGGAAGAAGCAGAGGAAGAAGAAGGAGAAGGAAACCCCAAAATGAAAGCCCCCCTCTTCACACTTGTTGAATAACGTTTATCTTCCAGTCTCGCAGAAGCAGCTTTTTCACCGTTTCCTCCCCGGCCTGCAGTGCCTCTTTTCCGGATCCGGACGTGCAGGGCTGCATGGCTGCGTGCTTTGACTGAAAGAATCATTTCAAAGAGACTTCACCCTGCATCCAGCTCCACTGGGTCGATATTTGTCATCTTTTATTCATTCGGCTTCCCGAGCAAAGGGAAAAGCTCCTGGAACCACACGGAGCTCGGAGATCTGTCCCCGGGCTTTGGGTCTCTATTCGCGGCGAGGAGGGGGATATCTCCATAGTCAGAAGACTAAAAAAGGCTTGCAAACCGAGTAGCCGAGCACTGCCTTCCCTGGAATACATGCTGTGCTTTTAACAAGGTGGATGGACGATTAATATTTCAGGAGTTTGTATTTTGGGGAACCAGAGAGGCGGGAGGGTCTGATAAACACGCCGACTTTAGTGCCCTGTCCGCCGGGTATAACCACTGGGTGGTACCGCTGTCTCCAAGCCGGGTGACTCTTCTAGAAATCCCGTTTTACAGCAGTCTGCGTTGTTGTTGGATCACAAAGTCGGGACACGCCTACTCTGTATTTGTGGACCTTGGATAATTATCTTCTGAGGACCGGGGGGAGCTCCAGGACTCACGCCGAGAAAGCAGCTCGGTCGCCGGGTGTGATGTCTCGCCGCTGGGGGTGGAATATATATTTTTTAGAGCTCCAGGAGTTTTCTGCTCCACTTTAAGCTAAGACACACCCCGTGTTGTTGCACTGTTGTCGGTGTGTTGAGGAGGACATGGCGGACTGCAGACCGGCGAACCCTGAGTTCACTGACAGCCGGACATCGAGCCCTCTGGCCGGGAAGAAGCGGGCTCAGCAGTCCCCTGTTCCCCGGAACAAGCACCAGATCCCGGATCCTGGAGGACACTGCCTCCGCAAAGTCACCCTCACAAAGCCCACCTTCTGCCACAGCTGCAGCGACTTCATCTGGGGGCTGGTGGGCTTCCTGTGTGAAGGTAACACATGAAGTGCATTATTTACATTAATTAGCCTACTGTAAAAATGCACCACTGCATGAGTGCATATCCAGCTGCAGGTGACCCTAAAAAGCAACAAGGGTTTGCTGATGAGTGCAAAGAGCATTTAGTTAAGATTGCATTTCTTTAATTGATCAGTAAAGTAAGATACACTTGTTTTTAATCCAGAGGGAAACTATTATGCTAGATATTGTGCATATTAGCCTACAACAAGAATACAACAAATAGAGTAATGAAATATGCAAGAGGTAGTTACACCAATCCAAATAGAGAAATAACAGGACGATATATTGGCAAATAAGTCAAATTTAAGTCAACAACAACAACAACAACCACCACCAAGTATATGCAAAAAAACTACATGTATTTTATACATTTTCCTCCACATATACAACATGCACATTAACACGTTTGCAGTTGTTACGCCCAGGTCTAGGGGAACCTAGGAGCAGCACAACATGGCACTCTCCCCACTCCCAAGAAATGGACAATGAGACAGAAAAATGCCTTTGGCAATTTGAATTACCCGTTTGTTTTTAAGGGAGGCGAGACAACCGCCATACACAAATAACCCTGGGCATACATACATCTTGCTTAACAACAATAAGTACATTAAAATACAGGCTTCTCACCTAACGAGAAAACAGGATTTGAACAAAAGCAAAGCGTGTCTTTCAAGACAGATTCAATTAGCTTATCTTCACAAAAAGTACAAAAGCACCGGTAATCGTGAGATGTAAAAGAACAATAGATCAGGTTCTCTACAACAGACATGGAGAGGGACTGCGTGGCTGCAGCTTAAATGCTCTCTCCAGGTGGACCAATCAGCCTGTCGAAGGCAGCCAATCAGCTAACGGGCACCACCTGCTCACTCACTCACACACACACACACACACACACACACACACACACACACTCACACACTCACTCTCACACACACTCTCTCTCACACACACACACACACACACACTCACTCACTCACTCACTCTCTCACACACACACACACACACACACAAACACACACTCACACTCACACACACACTCACTCACTCACACACACACACTCACTCACTCACACTCACACACACACAATGAGCCACAGCACTTCCCCAGGGTCGTAACACAGTGTTGATTAAAAAGCTGCAGTGAGTTTTTAAATCTCAGGAGGATCAGATAGAAACAGAGTGAGCTGCTGGGAACTCTTCCTCTGATTCAGGTCCTTCTTCCCGTCTCCTCTCGCTTGCCTTCTCTTTTCATTAGTTGTCTTTCCTTGCCTCCTGTGTCCTTTCCTTTTTCTGTTTTGGTTATTTATTTTCTCCTCTTTCCTCTAATTTATTTTTCTTTACTCTTTACGCCTTTTGTCCACTTTCCTTCTTTTAAAAGGGTTTCTTCTGCTTGCCGTCGTGTTCCCTCTCCTCCAGAGCTTTAGTGCTGTGAATAGTCTGCAGAGACTAAAACCCCAAAGCTCCCAGAGTTGTAACCCTTGCGCTGCTATTGGCTAGGACTCCAACACATTGTACCTGATAGGCTAAGGGGCGGGACATCTCTAAGTGTTGACCAATCACAAGAGAGCCGGCCAGCTCTTTAAAGTAGAGACACTACATACTGATATACATCTGAACATCAGCAGGAGAGGACTCTTTAAAGTAGAGACACTACATACTGATATACATCTGAACATCAGCAGGAGAGGACTCTTTAAAGTAGAGACACTACATACTGATATACACCTGAACATCAGCAGGAGAGGACTCTTTAAAGTAGAGACACTACATACTGATATACACCTGAACATCAGCAGGAGAGGACTCTTTAAAGTAGAGACACTACATACTGATATACACCTGAACATCAGCAGGAGAGGACTCTTTAAAGTAGAGACACTACATACTGATATACACCTGAACATCAGCAGGAGAGGACTCTTTAAAGTAGAGACACTCCATACTGATATACACCTGAACATCAGCAGGAGAGGACTCTTTAAAGTAGAGACACTACATACTGATATACACCTGAACATCATCAGGAGAGGACTCTTTAAAGTAGAGACACTACATACTGATATACACCTGAACATCAGAGGAGAGGACTCTTTAAAGTAGAGACACTACATACTGATATACACCTGGACATCAGAGGAGAGGACTCTTTAAAGTAGAGACACTACATACTGATATACACCTGAATATCAGCAGGAGAGGACTCTTTAAAGTAGAGACACTACATACTGATATACACCTGAATATCAGCAGGAGAGGACTCTTTAAAGTAGAGACACTACATACTGATATACACCTGAACATCAGCAGGAGAGGACTCTTTAAAGTAGAGACGCTACATACTGATATACACCTGAACATCAGCAGGAGAGGACTCTTTAAAGCAGAGACACTACATACTGATATACACCTGAACATCAGCAGGAGAGGACTCTTTAAAGTAGAGACACTACATACTGATATACACCTGAACATCAGCAGGAGAGGACTCTTTAAAGTAGAGACACTACATACTGATATATACCTGAACATCAGCAGGAGAGGACTCTTTAAAGTAGAGACACTACATACTGATATACACCTGAACATCAGCAGGAGAGGACTCTTTAAAGTAGAGACACTACATACTGATATACACCTGAACATCAGCAGGAGAGGACTCTTTAAAGTAAAACACTACATACTGATATACACCTGAACATCAGCAAGAGAGGACTCTTTAAAGTAGAGACACTACATACTGATATACACCTGAACATCAGCAGGAGAGGACTCTTTAAAGTAGAGACACTACATACTGATATACACCTGAACATCAGCAGGAGAGGACTCTTTAAAGTAGAGACATTACATACTGATATACACCTGATCATCAGCAGGAGAGGACTCTTTAAAGTAGAGACACTACATACTGATATACACCTGAACATCAGCAGGAGAGGACTCTTTAAAGTAGAGACACTACATACTGATATACACCTGAACATCAGCAGGAGAGGACTCTTTAAAGTAGAGACACTACATACTGATATACACCTGAACATCAGCAGAGAGGACTCTTTAAAGTAGAGACACTACATACTGATATACACCTGAACATCAGCAGGAGAGGACTCTTTAAAGTAGAGACACTACATACTGATATACACCTGAACATCAGCAGTAGAGGACTCTTTAAAGTAGAGACACTACATACTGATATACACCTGAACATCAGCAGGAGAGGACTCTTTAAAGTAGAGACACTACATACTGATATACACCTGAACATCAGCAGGAGAGGACTCTTTAAAGTAGAGACACTACATACTGATATACACCTGAACATCAGCAAGGAGAGGACTCTTTAAAGTAGAGACACTACATACTGATATACACCTGAACATCAGCAGGAGAGGACTCTTTAAAGTAGAGACACTACATACTGATATACACCTGAACATCAGCAGGAGAGGACTCTTTAAAGTAGAGACACTACATACTGATATACACCTGAACATCAGCAGGAGAGGACTCTTTAAAGTAGAGACACTACATACTGATATACACCTGAACATCAGCAGGAGAGGACTCTTAAAGTAGAGACACTACATACTGATATACACCTGAACATCAGCAGGAGAGGACTCTTTAAAGTAGAGACACTACATACTGATATACACCTGAACATCAGCAGGAGAGGACTCTTTAAAGTAGAGACACTACATACTGATATACACCTGAACATCAGCAGGAGAGGACTCTTTAAAGTAGAGACACTACATACTGATATACACCTGAACATCAGCAGGAGAGGACTCTTTAAAGTAGAGACACTACATACTGATATACACCTGAACATCAGCAGGAGAGGACTCTTTAAAGTAGAGACACTACATACTGATATACACCTGAACATCAGCAGGAGAGGACTCTTTAAAGTAGAGACACTACATACTGATATACACCTGAACATCA